TAAACTAACTCTTCGTTAACACAATCCTTAAATTCAATATATATTCAAAAACTATTCATTCATTTCCTGCCATTTTTCCACAATTTTATCAAAACTTTAATTTTCCGTCTATTTTGTAGTCAAAAAAAGCTACAAAAAATAAGTCCAATAACAAAACTCGCAAAAAATAGCTTTAATTCACTTTTATATGAAACCCTTTATAACTAAAAAAGAAAAATGTATTATACGGTACAGTATATTACATAACAATAAATGACTTCATAGTTTGCGTTCAATTTTCAACAAAAAACTACTTCATATGTAAAAAAGCTGTTTTGATAATAACTTTATTGTTTCGATAGTTCACTGGATATTAAATTAGCTTTTCATAGAGAATACAACAAAATATGATTTCAATTTGTATTTCCATTGTTTCCACAAATGTTTTTAATTAAAATTTGGTTTTAAAGCAAATCCCTAAACAGAGAAATGAATTTTGAGAAAGAGTGGAGAGAAATAGACACTAAAAAGTGAACATTTGAATTGATTTGAAGTGAAAATAACATTTGAACACAACTTTTGTCTCTAAATTGCTGTTAAATTATAGTAATTATAAAAGTTTTGATTTTTGAATGTATTGTTGAGCGCATTCTCGCAACTCTTTTATTGATTATTTGCTTTTCCTTTTAATTTTCTCATCGCATTCGCAGTGAATTCAATGTTTTAGTGCTTTTCAATGCATTTAGAGTTTCTTCTCGTCGTAAATGAAGACCAATAGTAGGAAAGGGAGAGAAAAGCGAGAGAACTGTCAGAACATAACAACACAATTGGATTTTGAGAGTTGGGTTGAGTTGGAGTTCACTCACAGACAGACACAGAGTTGTGTGCCTTCAATACGAGTCAGTCCTCAGTGTCTGCAGTCTATAGACTGAACGCATAGCCATTGAGTGAATGCTTCGGTCTTTTCCACTCTCTTCTCGAGTAAACCTTTAAGGCGTTGGCTCTCAATGTGTGTCCACTCTATCCATACANGAGTCAGTCCTCAGTGTCTGCAGTCTATAGACTGAACGCATAGCCATTGAGTGAATGCTTCGGTCTTTTCCACTCTCTTCTCGAGTAAACCTTTAAGGCGTTGGCTCTCAATGTGTGTCCACTCTATCCATACAAACCATACAAACCATACATAACAACACTAGACGTCAATATTAACATTGATTTCATTATAAATACTGTTTGTCATCCAATCATTTGTTTATTATTTGTCAAAACAACTGCTCGTTCATCGTTTCAAACCTAACATTCATTGGTTTTGTGTGCAATTCATTCATAAAACGTCTCATAATTTCAATAAACAAATAAAGAGTAAGTCTTAAGTGCTTTTTAAATGTATATATTTCTCACTTTACATCTCATTTGTGTTTTAAACACATCTGTTTCTATGTCTCAATCCCTTTACGTTTCAATGTTAGCCATATATCGCGTAAAACACATCCATTTCTTGAGTTTTAACTCAAATACATTTAATTTCTTTATAAAATATAACTTTTATTTGCATTGAATTTTGAAATATTAGTTATAAACTAAATGCTATGAAAAATCCCGACTTTATAACTACAGAAGTGTCGCTAAAATTATATAATTTATTATTTTATTTAATAATTTCCTCCACTCTTTGTATTCAAATGTATTTCTATTATTCATATAATTAGCCGACAATTGAGAAAACTTTAGGAAATGAACGCAAAAACTATTTTTAAAGACAATTCAGTTATAAACGATGTTTTAATTAAATTAATTGTTATGTTTAATAAACAAATAAACGGATATAACAAATAAACTATATGTGAAATACTTGAAAGTATTAATTATTTGGTGATATAATAATATTTATATTCAACAATAAATTAATATAATTATTGTTTGCAAATAAGTTTATACTATTTTGTATTGAGTTGTGAATTGTTTCGTTAGTTTGTATTATATTTTTATAAATATTAATGCAATTCTGTTCACGAATTTTAAGCCCTCATTATTTTTACTGTATTTTTCCTTCATTTGAAATGTAATACTTTTTTCTTATTACCGGTATTTGAGTTTTAATTAGTTTTAAAACTTATTTTGTTAGCTATTATACTGTTTTAGTGATTATTGTCGGCAAAGTTTTAACAGTTTGTATTTATATTGATTCAGTTTTTATTTGCATAAAGTCTAGGAATTTATATAAATTTATTATAAATTTGTTGTGAAAATATGTGTTTAAAACTTATGGCGATAGTCTGAATGATTGCCTGAATTGTTTGAAAGCCATAACTAGAGCCTAACCTTAATTATGTTGTGTTTGTGAACAACAATTAATTAATTAACAATTGAATCCTCAAATAGTCTTTAACATAGATTTTCTAAATATGTTTTCCAAAGTTGAGACCCATTTTTCACGACTTGATAAACTTCATCACCGGTTAAGAGACTCATCTCTTTATATGCCGTACACTATCTCTAACTTTTGGGTCTCAACAATGGGTTTAAGAAAAATGTTTTTAGTGAACAAATATTAATTCCCGAAATAACGTTAAAAATAATTGATTTCGTAAAACATGAAGTATTTTCACAAATTTTTTTGAAATTTTTTTTTAATAGTAAACAGTAAAAGACAATTACCAGCAAATAAACGAAAAATAATTCAATACTGAATTACACTTTTTATAGATAAGACAACAAATGCTTTTTAAAATATGATTTTACGAGTTTGTTGTCTACCATTAAATTTGAACAACATTTTGCATAAATTCATAGCATATTTGGGATTTGCTTTTATACGGGATTCCTTCCTAAGGGATGTCATTTTTTTTGGGACATTAGAGTCATGTCATTGTGATCTCTAAATGCTTTCAATGTTATTTCCATTTCAATGTTTGGTAACAAAAATTTCACAAAAACTTATTTTGAATGGTTTGTAATTTGGGAACAATTTTTATTCATTTCATGGCTTTTCTCCCATTCCCGGTGTTGAACAGGTTTTTGCGCTCATATAATGATTGATTGATAGTTTTCTGATTACTCTTTTCAACCAACTATTGATTGGAATCTATTTTTTATGTGAAATATTTAGTTTGTTATCATTTTTTCAAAACTTTTTATTTTTCTTTATTTTGAAGGATATCTTAATTATTGGCTGTCTTTTGATAAACATTTAAACTTATTGATAATTCCTATGATTATAGAGTTTTATATCAAAAGGTTTATTGAACTATAATTTATTACACATTTTTACAATAATTCATTTCCTTTGGTTTTATTCTGAATTAATACCCAAACGATGAGTTCATGTAATTTTATTTATCGTTATTTAACAGAAAAGTTATATAAAGCCGTACATGCGATATGTGGACGGGAACCGTAGGTTTGGTCAACAATCAGCACAAGTACTTAACGGCTGAAACATTTGGCCATAAAATCAATGCCAATGGAGTGGGACTTAAGAAGAAACAGCAGTGGACTATAGAGCCGTTTCCTATCAGTGCCAATGGAGCCGACTATTCAAATGGCAATCGTTTGGACGATTTGGACGAATTGGAAAACGTTGCCATCAAATCACACCTCGATTGCTATCTGGCCGTCGACTCCTTCGGTAACGTCACCTGTGAGTCAACCGAAAAAACTGAAGGCTCCCGATTCACCATCACTATCTGCTCCATGTCCTCCACCGCTACTACTCAACAAGGTTTGGTCCCATACCTCTCTCTCTCTATTGTCTTAAATTTTTGTATTGTTTTATTTAACATACATTTTGGGTTCTCTCTCTCTCTCTCTCTCTCTCTCTCTCTCTATTGTCTTAAATTTTTGTATTGTTTTATTTAACATACATTTTGGGCTAAACTTCAAAATATGTTTTTGAACTCCAAATTCACTGAAAAATACACTGTTTTTTGTTTATAAAACGCCTTTTAAAGCAATTTATTTTTAGAAATACTGTATAAGAATTTTTCTCTTGAAATGTGTATTCATTTGTAAAACTATTTATAAATTCATTTTTAAGAAACAATCATTAATTGTTGAGTTACAGGAAATTATTAGTGAAGACAACAGTTGTGTTCTCCTTTCAAATCACAAATTTTCAAATTGTTTATTCATTCGCAGACTTCTTAAGCATTTAATTGTTTTGATTGTTTTTAATAGTTTTGAAAATTTTGCATTTAATAGTAATTAATTAGATTTTTTATTTATGTTTTAACGCTTTACGTCTTTGTTGACTATTTTTCTTTAAGATCACATAATTTTATATGATTTATATCATATATATTGCACTTTATTTTATTTCTTTGAAATTTATACACACTTTTCATAATCAATTTGTCGGCAAAATATAGTGAATGATATTTATGTCACAATAAATGATTGATTATTTGTGAATTTTTTACTCTTTATTATTGTATTAAAGAATTTTTATTTTTTGATATAATCTGACATTTTATGCTTTAAAGGTTTAAATGAAAGAATTTGTATTAAATACTAAATCTTTGTCCAATTCATGATACTTTATGTCAAACGAATCACTTTTAATGTCATTAAAAGGCATTTAAAACGTTTAATTCAATCAATCTTAACATGAATTTCAAAAATTTTAGACAAATTTGATTTAAAGAAAGAATTTCCAAAATTCTTATTATTAACAATAAATCATTCATTTATTATCAGAAATAACTGAATAGAGATTTTAAGCATTTAATTATTTCATTATGGGTTTATAGTTATTACAGAATTGATTTATAAATACTTGAATTTATTGCCTAACACCCCTTGGCTTAAAATTACCACAATTATTTTTATTGTACTAATTTGAAAGGATCTTTTTAAATCTTAGATCTCTTTAAAGGATTTAGTGTTGGCTTTAAAGGCATAATAATTGAATGAATTAATTGAATAATTATTTCGTCCATTAGAGCAAATTTCGTGGGCCTTTCGCAACATCTCTCGCGGTTATTATTTGGGCACAACATCTGATGGTATGATTCAATGCAACGCAAAGATGCCTCAATCGAGGGCTGAGTTATGGCACGTGCATCTGATCCCAGCCCGAGGCGCCACTATGTTTGCCCTCAAGTCCATCGGCAGAAAACGATTCGCCCGAACAATGCCTTCAGTTTCTGGTAATTATCGGTTAATTAAAAACATTTGTCCGAAAAACACATTAATTACTCCAAAAATTCTTGCTTTAAGTTTATGCTTAAAACGGGCTTTTAATAAACAATTTATAGTACTTTTTATTTTCAATAGTTTTTGATTATTTTTAGCGAATTATTATTAAAACTTATAAATTCAATGGTTTTCTCAGTGTGTGATCAACCCTTTGAAAAGATTAATTTTATAAGTGTTTATATTTTGACATTTCATTTATTGATTGCTTTTTATTGCATGAATTTGAAGAAAATATTATTTATTAGATTTTATAATCAAATAATTTCTAAATTCAATGCTATATTTGAAACACAGGGCAAATGAATGGGGCGTCAAATGGGAGTGAAGTGAGTGAACAAATACAAGTGGACGCCACGACTGCCTGGGGTTCGGAGACATTGTTTCAGTTCAAGTACTTCGATAGCGGCAAATATGCGTTATTGACATCCAATACCAAATACTTGACAAACGAAGGCATTTGTATTGATTTAAGCAAAAGTCCGATCGCGTCGTTGCCTCCCATCGAGTGTCTCTTCACTATTGAATATCATTGCGGAAACATTGCGTTCAGAGACAGCGCCGGACGATATTTGGCGGCCGCCGGCAGAGCATCGCTTCTGCGGTCGCGATCCACTCACGTGACCAAAGATGAACAGTTCGAGTTCGAGAGCGCACCCATTCAGGTCGCCCTCAGAGCCACTTTCAACAACAAATGGGTTTCTACTAAACAGGGTTTGTCTTCAGCCAATAGTTTACAATCAATTCTCTATTAATGGGTTCTTTGTGTGGAAATCAGGTGTCGATCTGTCGGCCAATCAAAACGAGTTGACAAAACAGGAAACTTTTCAGTTTGAGTACAATAACTCAGATCAGAGCTGGTATATCACCACATATGAGGGTCACTACTGGGCATTGGGAGGCGCTTCCACTATACAGACCAACAAAGACTTGAGCGCAAGAAGTTGTTTCAAAATCAAATGGAATTCAGACGACGGCTCGTGTTCTCTGGCCGTAAGTGATCCCAAAGCCGGTGACGAAACGCTCACCAAATGGATTGGCGCCCGAAAATCGGGTCAACTCTTCACATGTCAATCAGATTCTGCCGTAAAATTCTTCGTAAAATTTTTGAACAGAACTTCCATTAATCTGAGAGCGAGTAATGCTTCGGGTTTTGTTGGACTCAAACTACCGGGTAATTCGTAACTCATTTCTCAATCAATATATGCTCTCTTCTCACACAACAATTTGATTGTCTTATGATCTGAAGGTTCGGGAAAACTGGAGTCAAATAAGACAACACCGGATTCAATGCGCATAGAATACGCGAATTCCGAGAACAATGGTCTCGACTTCTCTGACATCGACTCCACATTCAACTGCTGTTACCTAAAGATGATGTCAAACAACAAATACTTGAGTCTCATTGAGAACAACAGTGTGGCGGCGGACGCGTCTTCGGCCGCCTGTGCCCAACAGTTTCAGATCGAGTTAAGGAGCGGAACTCAGATCGCGATCAAGACATACGAATCAAACTCTAATTATTTAAATCTTACCAAAAATGGTTCAATAGTTGTCTCCAATTGTTTGCCAGAATCGGCGACTCTTTGGGAATTTTGAACCAAAATCTCATATCAATTCTCTCTCTCTTTTTCACACTTTCTCTCTCCTATTGTTGTCTATTGTATTTGAGTATAAATACTGTGAACACTCGTTATAGTGAACCGCGTTATAGTGTGCGTTGAGATAAGACAGAAATTGAGACAATTTAACTAAAATGTGTACACTATATGCGGTTCACTAAAACGCAAATCTATTGTAGACCAAAAATATTTGACAAAACTTTCCAATTTTATTATGAAATCTCGTTTTTAACACCGATTTTGTACTTTTTTGTACTTATTTTATCAAAATGTTTTTTGTGGAATAATTTATGATATAATTATTTCGCTCTCTTTTATATATTAATAATTTTTATAATTTTTATAAATTATTTTAAAGTAAAATATAATTTAATTATTATTTGAATTTTTATAATGTTTTTAAAGCATTGCATAACAATTGTAAAGATTTTTATTAATATTTTGAATTTGAATAAAACTTTGGATTTAATGGACATTAAAAGTAATAAAATTTATTATTTGCTCTCAAAAAGCAATTTGTATTTTAATGTTAACTTTTACCATTCTTCTACTAATTTAAGATATTACCATTACTTTTTAAAAAGTTGTACAATACTACTGTATATAGAATCTACACTATACTATTGATACAGGTGATGAGATATTAATAAACGGCAAACTATTACATTGTAGCATTGATACCAATTATATAACAAATTTTCAAAATTATTAAAAGCTCAACAATATATTAAATTATAAGGAAAACAACACAATTAACTCAAAAAACATCAAACAATTAATGAAATGTTAATACAAAACACTAATCCGAGGAAATGTGTTTCAAAAGTCGTCAACTTTTCCTTCCCTTTAAACATTAAACCAATCAAAAATCATTCACTCAATACGTGCGGCAATCATCTCACATACACTCAAACCTCTATATAGTGAACAACACACCTGTACACTATGTTACCTAATCATGTACTGGATAATTTGCAACTTAAATCTGTCATTTAACGTACAAATGTGTAACATGTAATCGGATGCTAATAATTAAAACTTGTATACAATGAACGCATAACTATAGGATTGATAGAAACGGGCGTTGTTTTGGTTATCCATACAAATAATGTGTTATTTTATGGACACAAACAAAAAACATATGAAAATGAATGCAAAAATGTATTGATATTTGTTATGAAAGTGAATACCATTTGTGTTGAAATAACATTAATTTAAAGTCAATTATTGTATTGATTGGCAGTAAATGTGATTCTCGTTGCGAATGTTTGCATAAGTTTTGACAATTGGTTGCAATTTAGTAGTGTTTTGGTCCACAAAAGTAGTTCACTGTATAGTTATAGCAACAGTACGTACAGTGCATAGTGTACTGCATATACTGTACAGTCTTTACAGTGAAGTTTTTGATAATAAAAGTTATTTGAAGTGACATTTATTTAATTCCGTAATCAATATAATAGTTATCTGTTTATCACATAATTATACTGAATATTTACAGTAGTATTAAGTGTTTAAATAATCTGCACTTTCATTGAGACGAAAATACATTTCAAACATATATTTATTGCAAACAAAATCTCAAATAACTATTCAGTCATCAAATGATTTGTAAAAATTGATTCAATTTTTTGCATTCAATCCATAAGTCATGCAATTTCTCTCAAAATTGGTATTTAATCTCATTTTTGATTGAATTTCATATTTTAAAAAACTTTCTCAAACTTTATTTGAAATGAAAGGCCATTCCGGACAGCATTTTGTCTTCGGATGTGTGGAACACATTAGTGGCCAATCGGGACAAAATCCAGTTAATTGTGGCCACAGTTTCGGCCACTTTGACAGCGCTCAAGATCTACGAGCTCTACGACAATGACCAGTGTATGACTCAAATCAACGTTCAATTGATCCGCAAATTGTAATTTTTATATACTTTTCAGTGACCATAAAGTCTTTGAAAGAGAAGTCGTTTCGACTTATGGTTCGTTTGCCGTATTTGAAAGAAATAGCGGCCAAACAGTTGGCAGAAGTGGACGACACTATTTCACATCAAATCAGAAAAATATTTGATAACTACTCTTATATCACAAATTTGCCACTAAATGGACTCAATTCAGACAATATTGTGTCAAAACTGGAAGAATACGCAGAGATCGGCAAAATTGATTGGAGAAGAGGTCGCGCCTCAGGTATGCATCGCTTGTTTGCAATGCAATGTCTAATGTTTTTTACAAACTCAAGGAACCGTCTATTGTGACGCCAACACCAACTTAACGGAACTGATGGTTCGGGTGTACGAGAAGACCGCGTACACCAATCCATTACATCCGGACGTCTTTCCCGGCATTAATAAAATGGAGGCCGAAATCGTAAGAATTGTGTGCAATCTTTTTAACGGCGATTCCGAGAGTTGCGGAACCCTTACCTGCGGCGGAACGGAGTCCATAATACTGGCCGTTAAGGCGAGTCGCGATTACGGCCGGCAAACGAAAGGTATCAGTCGTGCAGAAATAGTGGCGCCGGTGACGGCTCACGCGGCCTTTCAAAAGGCCGCACAATTGTTGAATATGAAGATCAGATTCATAGCCGTCGAACCGGACTCTTATAAAGTGAATCTGAAGGCAATGAAACGTGCAATTAGTGGCAACACTGTCATGTTGGTCGGCTCGGCCTGCAATTACCCGCACGGTATCATCGATGACATCGAAGAAATTGCCAAAGTATTGGACAACCAATTAATTTAAAAGTATTGTTATTTAATTGTTTGTGTTTACAGTTAGGTCTCAAATACTCGATTCCGGTTCACGTGGACTGTTGTTTGGGTGGATTTCTCGTGCCATTTATGAGAAGCGCCGGTTTCCCTATTCCTGCGGTTGACTTTTCGGTCGCCGGTGTGACCAGTATTTCGGCCGACACTCATAAATACGGTTACGCACCCAAAGGCTCGTCGGTTGTCATGTATGCGCATAAGAAGTACCGCAAACACCAGTTTTCTGTGCAAACCGATTGGCCCGGAGGTATATACGCCACTCCCACTCTGGCCGGCAGTCGTTGCGGCGCCAATATAGCCAACTGTTGGGCCACTCTTTTGCACTTTGGTTTTGAGGGTTACGTCGAGTCGACCAAAAAGATAATGAGAACTCAACGCTATTTGAAGGCAGAGATGTCCAAATTGGACGGCGTTTACATTATGGGCGATCCAAACATGTCTGTCATCGCCATAAAGTCCGATCGATTCAACATTTTTAGACTTAGGTTTGGATCTATTGATGATACGAAACAAACTTCATTTGTTAACACTTTTTATGATCACTAAATATAGCGACCGAATGTCAGAACTGGGTTGGAGTTTAAATCCTCTGCAATACCCGTCAGCGGTGCACATATGCCTCACTTTAATGCACGCACAGACCGGTGTCGCCGATGCCTTCTTAGCGGACCTCAAGACCGTTATTCAGGAATGTCTGGATTCGCCGACAGAAACCGGTGATGGACTCGGAGTTATCTACGGAATGGCTCAGACGCTTCCCGACCGCTCTCTTGTCACTGATATCGCCTCCCATTATATCGATGGCATTTACACCACTTGGACTAAAGACCAATAAATTTCCACACATTCCTCTCTATTATACACTAATTGTGATTAAATTTGTCGTTTCTTTTGAATTAGGTTTTAAATATTTATTAGAATTTGGAGTAAATTAAAGATAAATTAAAGTTAGTTAGTTGTAATTTAAACATTTTTTGTTACATTTTATTATTTAAGATTTCCGATTCAAAGTTTTTATATCTAATTAAAAAATTCAATTTATATAATTTAATACATTTGATTTGTAAGCAAAATATTAAACATTTTGATACAGAATAACAACAATTATTAATGCGGTTTTCATATTTAGGAAACTTTATTAGTGTTTTGCAATTAAAACATGATATTCTTATAAGAATTTATATTAAGGAACTTGTAATATGTTATATTTTATTTGAACTTAATTTGTGTTAAAAACAATAAAATTGTTGAAATAATTTAAACATATTTTGACAAAAGTATTCGTAAATAACAAATCAATCAATTTTTAAAATCACACTTCATTTTGTTCTTTAGAAATAGAGTTGAATTTTCTGTACATTGGTTTTTGCGGCGCTTTTTTATAGGGAACCGGATAGCTGTGAGGGTTTGGGAATTGCAAACAATTTATTAATTTTTCATTTAATAACTCATTTCATGATATTCCTAAACATATGTTTATTCAACATATGATACACTATTTTGTAACTCTTAAAGAATGTTAAAATGAAATAAATAACATTTAAATGTTTGAATGAATACTTACTAATACGGCTGTGGACAGGCTGGCATTCCTCGGTTTTGTTGTTTGCCTAACATTACGCCTAATATTAATCCTTTGTAAAACTTTTTCTCTCCAAACATGTGAATAGGAACTGAAATTAAAGCCAATATTTGAAACAAAATCAAAATTAACTTTTTGATTTGCATTTTCTTCAGCCAAAACTCAATTCAAACATTAGATTAAAAAGTTTTAAAACTGAAGCGAATCTCTCTCTTGAAGATGAAATTTACAATGAATTTTATTTTCTAATAATCAATACATTGAATCCTATTTTAACACTTGATTTAACACATAATTAGTCATTATTTTTTAAAATAATTATTTTGTTCATTGTTTTGATCGAATTATAGGTCAGTGTATATGATAATGAAATTAATGTTAATAAATAGCTTAAAACTGTATCATTCCGTGTATCAAACAATTTATTACTATTTAATTATTACTACAACCGAAGAAAATGAATGTTTTTGATTTACGACTGAGTTGTGAAATAATTTTATTACTTTTAATCCTTTTAAAACCAAATAGAGTTTCAATTTAATTAAACAAATTTTTTATTTCTCTTTACTTTCCAAAACATTATTGAAATTAAAATTATATTTTAAACCTTTATATTTTAAATAAAATTCATATTTTATGCTATTTTTGTATTAAATTTATGTTTTATGTCTAAACAAATGATTGAAATGCCGGATATTTAGAAAATCTCAACAAAATGATTGTCTCCTCGGTTTTGGTGAAGTATAAAAGATGGGTTGTTTGAGTGCCAGAAATGTTTACAAGTATTTTTAGATCCAATTTCAACTTCTAATGTATTGTTAGATTCCTTGAACTTCATTATTATAACCCGATTATGATTTAAATTTTATACCAATGCTATAAATACATTGAGTTCAATACCTGTTCATATATTGTCACTTCTTTGTAGAATTAGATCGTTTTCATTAAATCAATTGAGAGATAGTTTTGATTATATGTTAAGCGAGTAATGCTATTAATGTACGATTTAATGAATCAAATAATGTATAATTACTTAATAAGTACTTATTTTTAGATCTTTTATTGTCAATACTTTATCGCACAATAAAAACTTTATTTGTAATGTTTTAAAATCGTTTCGTTTTGTTTGTGTCATTATTTCGCACAATTATTTATTAGACAAACAAAATAAAAGTTAATATAATTTGTTATATAAGTCTTGAATAATTGCCAAAAAGTAAAAAGGTTTAAATTGAATGTAAACTAGAGTAGAGTTTAATCAAATGTCCTTGCTCATCCTGGCAATTATCTGTTAATATTCATTTACTCTTATCTTCACATACAATGTCTTTTTGGTGACCTTTTTATGACATTTTGTTAAATTATTTGTTTTAAATTTATTTTTAAATCTCAATTCATATAAAGTTGTAATGAATTGAAATCTATTTATATTCCAACAAAAAGAGTAAAATAAAAGTTTTAAAAATGTCTCAAAAGTTATTTCACTGAAAGATAAGTTTTAAAATATGATAATTTCATGTTTTCTCGTCAATAGACACTACTTTCCTATGAAAACAAATTAAAGTAAAACGAGTGTAAAATTGTTGACAAGTTTTCCGACAGACAAAACATTCGTTGAATTTAATGACAAAATTATTTCAAACATTTGTAAAATGAGTTTACATTCGAGTCGTTATTACAGCCAAAAAGAGAGACTATTTTTTATGAAGAAAACTATAAACTATTTGAAGCGTTAAACGAAATAATAAATTGCAATTAAATTTTTCAATACAACTATTGTATGGAAAAACTTTGTATAAATTATTGAAAATAATTGAATGAAAAAAAGGTGAATGACTTTCAGTGACGCGAACTCTATCTCGAAATGTAGACTAAAATGTATTTTTCAATGAATGATATTTTCGTTGGTTTCTTGAATGCAAAGCCAAACGCAATGCAAATGCATTGCAAACGAAGAGTGAATTAAGTGTTGCATTGATGTCAAGGCTTTGAGAGGGACTGACAGTGACTGACAGTGAATGCGTTTGTTGTGTGAAAAGGGACTGAAGTGTCGGTTGCAGTGATTATAAGAGCAAACAGTGGTTCAGTTGTGAACACTGTTTGTGAGCCAACCATTGATCGCACGCTTTCGAGCCCAAGAAGGAGTCCATTGCGTGCACTCAACGGATCCCGAGCTCCAGACGTCGCGCACATCGCCTCCCAATACACACATCCACTCAGCCATCGCTTCCCCCGCGAAGACGCGGCCGACGACTGTCTCAGTGGTGGACACGTGTGAAGACACGCGAGAAGGCGTTGTTTTTGGTGATTGAAAACGTGGTCTGCGTTGGCATCGAGTGGTGAAGAAGCGTTTGGTGACGATATGCCGGTCAGGTCTTCGGCAGAATCGCAATGCGCTCAGACACAGGACATGGAAGCAGACAATTGCAACTGTTCTGATGGCAGGTGTCATGAATCGGACAAACTATTCAAAGATTCTCAACAAAACTCATCGAAACAACAACTCATTCAAAGCAAACACACCTTAAGAGGAGTTCCACTCATGGCTTCGCGTATGTCTTCACGCGATTATCCATTGAATGAATGGTTATATTTATGTGATTTGTTTGTCGCCCAAAAACAGACCGCCAGTTAGGAGTGACTCAATCTCTTCTGTACAACGGATCCAAATTCGGTGGACACCAGAAGTCCAAAGGGAACTGCTATGACGTCGAAGTCGTCCTTCAAGTAATCATTTGTTTGTCTTTTCACTTGTTTTTGTTTACATTAATCTCATTATCATTGAAACGATTCAAAGTCTTATTGATTTGTTTTCTTAATTCTGTTTCACTGAATGGACACAAGAATGTCGATGAAATCAATTCATATCTTTGCGGTTACTTAAAAATCAAAGGTATTTATCATTGATTTCACGTTTTAATCAATGTTTTAATATAAATACTGATTAAAGGATTGACTGAAGAATATCCAACTCTCACCACATTCTTCGACGGAGAGATTATTTCCGGAAAATATCCGTTTCTGACCCGCAAATGGGACGCCGACGAAGAAGTGGACCGGTTTGAGACACACCCCTCTCTCTCTATGCCTTCATTAACCCATTGTTCCCCTCATAGGAAGCATTGGTCGAAGTTTTTACAGTTCTATCAGTTATCAAAACAGTTTAATTGTGATAATTTTGATTACAATCAACTCATTGGCACTGACTTTGTATTCATGCGATGGAAGGAACACTTCTTAGTTCCCGATCACACCATTAAAGTAATCATTATCTCCAGTAAATCATTGCCTAACCCTCTCTTCCATATGAAGGACATAAACGGCGCGTCTTTTGCCGGTTTTTATTACATTTGTTTCACCAAATCTAACGCTACTATTGAAGGCTATTACTATCACAGACAGTCCGAGTGGTGAGTGTTTCGCGTATGCATTCGTGGATTCATTATTGATTGTAATTATGACAATAGGTTTCAGTCGTTGACTTTGGTTCACATACCGGAGCACTCGATACAGATCTATGAGTTCCGCTAAAAAACAAAACCAAAACTACTTTTTAGTTTTTAAACATTTTTAAGCAGTTTTTTGTTTACTCCAAAAGCAAAGCCAACACAACAAACAACTGTTTGATAAAAATTTATGATTTTATTTTTATTTATTATTTATTTTGTAATTATTATTATTTTTTGAGTTCTTATTGTAAACTGAATTATAATTACAATTATGTTATGAAACGTACAAAAAGCTAAACTCATAATAATTTGACAGAAAATGTATTTTTTGTTTTGTTTTGAATCACAAATTCTCTTAATTTTTGATAAAACTGTGAAATTATTTGTGAAGAGAAGAGAAGTGAACGCAAATCAATGATTAGTATTACAGTTATTGTAACCGCTTTTAGGCGAGAAAAATGTATTGAAAAATGGTTTTTCATTTTGTGCCCGAATTTGATTTGTTTTTCCACTTTCTTCTCCAATGTTCACAATTTGTTGATCTATTAAAATAATTTGTATTTTTCTCTCAACAATACTTTTAATTCCTTAACTCTCCTCTACTTTTGACTAACACTTTGGAAAACATGTTTTCAATTTGTTTGATTCTTAAAGACGTTTTAGCAATAAATATGTTTTTTATGGAAAACTTTATTAAATATTTATTCAAATAATAGAAATACAATTTAAGACAAAACATTTGCGAATACAGTGTATAAGAAATATAAGAATTATTTCAAATTCATAATAAAAAGCTGTGAAAAAGTGTATATAAAAAGATGTAAATTAAAGTGAAAGACTAGTAAAGCTTTAAAATTGCAATTAATTTACAAATTGTATAAATTATACAAAAATTATTTGCCGTCAAGACTAGTATTGTGTAAAATTGAGCGCAAAATTCAATGTATTGTTTAAAATGTTTCATGATTACAATTAAATAGGGAATTAAATTCATTTAGACTTTGATAACGTTTAAGAAATATATCTTAAAATATGGCATAAAATGGGAATTATTGGTCAGTAATTGAATTCGACTACAGATTGGAATTAATGGCAACAAAATTAACACATTATTTATCCGAATGTTTTCAAAGAATATTCACTAATAATTGGAATTTAAATAAAATCAACAAATATTTCGATTAATAATCGATTGCTTTAACATTTCTTATTATACTTTCAATTTCAAAACAATTATCTTTTCATTTCTCTTTCGAAGACTTTTTGGTTAAAACAAGAAAATAAGTCCAAATGTTTGAACTTTTATGGCAACAGAAGACTACAAGACATGAAATGCGGTGTAAAAAGACTTATTCCTAGAACTGGACGTTTGCTTCACATTTTCTGACTAAAGCTGCGATTATTTTATCAAATTTATCAAACTTTTCATCGCTTTCGACATCAGATCCACGAAAGCCGAAGAGAAACTGTCGATGAAATTCTGTTTTAAACATATCTGTCAACAGTTCGTCAAACTTAAGACTATCGGAAACGATGCGTGCGTTTCGTCTATAAATATCCAATTGTGCGACAAATGCTGTCCCGGACTCCAAGTGATTGAGGATCTGCTGAAGACCGCAATCTTCGGACGTCTGCTCGAACCAAATGCCCAAACATTGCGACGACTTTCTCTTATCGCTGTCTTTCTGACTCTCGACTAAATCCCAATGACTTTCCAGTATTTGAATTAAAGTCAAAATAAACGGAAAACACGTATTCGGAGCTGAAATTGAGTTGACATTAGTTTAAAATCAGTTTTCATGCAATTCTTTGACAAACCCTGAGGTTCTATGCATTCAATCATGGATTTGAATTGTGGCTTAAGTTTGGTTTCATAATTGATTGCATTCGGAGTAAAGTTTGAGCGCACGAGAGACCAGATGTTGTTCAGCTTCAGAATCGGTTCCATCGAAAGCGCTTCCATTACGGCTCCGAAACCGAACAAATCTCCTAAAGCTGTCTTCACTTCGGCCGCGATTTCAATCCATTTATTCAAAATTAAAGCTCTTTTCTCGTCATTAATTGCCGTCAAAATTGTTATACAAATAAAATATTTCAGACATTTATGTCTTTCGAGTAAATCTAAACGCAATTGTCTTCCATTTGGCAAAAGAATAGTTTCAAACGCCGATCGAATCCCATAACCAAAGTCATGGTTCAAATCCTTTAATCGAATGAATAGAAGATCACATTTGGCCAAATGATTGGCCAGAATTCGTGGTCCGGTGTCCGACAGAACCGATTGGATCTTAATTATAGCTGAAGAGTCCAAAGGCTTATTATCTTTAGGCAATAGATATGTATGAAATGATTGCGCTTTGATTTGCGAACAAAAGGTTTGCGGAAGAAATGTTTGGTCACTTTTTTCGTTAATAATTTTCATATTTTTCGTTTCGTATTTATTTTCTTCCATTTGTTTCGGAGAAATGTTTTCCGAGAAGAAAGCGCTGTCTTCGGAACCATTGGATCCATTTTTATGCGAAGAATGACCACTACTTTCCGATAGATTATCACAATTAAGACTCATATTTGAAAACTTCTGTTCCGTCAAAGAAGTGGTCGAAGACAAGCGAATCCCTGTTTGGAATCGATTCGGTTTGGGAGGAGTCGACGTCTGATGTCTGATATCTTCGCTCGAATACGAAGTAATTGTTTCCGATTTGTATTCTTCGCGTCGTTTCTCTAAAGACGAGACTTTGGATGAGAAGAGAGTTTTGCTGTAATTAATGGTGTTTTGAAGTGAAGTTAAAGGATGGCTGCGATTGACGGGAGTTGTGATGACAGCCATTGAGGCCAAAGTGAGCGGCCGTTTGTTTCCCACATAATATGTGATCAAATCAGTGATGGAGTCGAACGAGTCGTCTTCCAAAGAGTACCGAATCTTCTGGTAATCCGTGTTTGCATTCATCACAACCCGAGAGATGACAAAATGCAAGACATGACCACCACTTCTGGTCGACAACACGTAGTCGTCGTGTCTTGAGCTGCAATTCCTCACCAGAAAGTGTCCGCTCGTCGACAGCAAGTGCTCGGCTTTGGATCGAGGAATGGATCCGTGAAACCAGGCGTTGGACCGGATGTCTGTCCAACTCAACGATAATTCCCATTCCAAGCGCTTCCGACTCTCAGACTCTTCACATAATTGTGTTGACATTGTTTGCCATCAAAACACTTCATCACATCTTCTCATAAACCGAGTGATAATCGCATTGAAAATGATTTGCAAATCAAAACACAATTAGATTTAAATGTGAAATATATTTCACTTTTCACTCAATCTGTAATTCAAAGCCCTTTAATGACAACCAATTCTTGCATTCAATTCACTCGAGTTTTACTTCATCTCTGAAACCCATTTAAACCCTATTTATTGCCATTTATTTCTACACATATTTACAACTCATTTAATGCCTAATTATAAACATCTAATTAAGGGTCAAATGAATGATATTTCAATAAAACATTGATTCGTTTCAATAACGAGGTTTGACTGTAGTTTAGAGCAGATCTTTAACAGAAGAGTGTATTGAGACGAATGTTATGTAATATTTGGTATTTTTCTCCTATTTTCTCACTCTATATAACATGTAATTACTTTTGACACAAACTCTAAATAAAAAATGCATTAAAAGTAATACAAATTCAAAACTTTTCGCTTCAATTCAATGCAATTCTAAATATTTGTTGAATGCATTTGAAAAGCATTTCATAAATGTTATAAAGTTTGGAAAAGTCTGTAAAATGCAATCGTTATGTCATATGAAACACACAATAGTTGTACTGATTATACGTTTGATGCGATTGTGATGTCTATAAAGTGACCCCTTTTAGAGTCGCCTCAAATTGTTATACATATGAGTCATCGGAAAGGCCTTCACTTCCACTCAAAATCGCGTACAAAAGAGTAATTGAATTCAATTTAAAAAATGATTTAAATTTAACGCAAAGCAGAGAAGAGTTGAATAATTCTCGTCTTCCTGTCGAGAGAGTCGTCTTCTCGTCTCTCTTTGATTGCATTTTGCGAAACAATGAGAATTCGTAGTGAAGTTGTGGACAATTGAGTTAATTATATGTTTGCAAACAATCGTCAGTTTGTGTGTCATATCATTAGTCGTGTATTCATATGGAAATTAGTTCACAAATACTAGACTTTGTCTCTAATCTCAAGCTTTAAACCCGATTTCAGTGTTGAAAGCATTGAAATCTCTACCAAACACTTGTTTTTCTGAATATTTACAATCAAACGCTTGAATGCAATAAAAGTGATCATTAAATGCGAATTATTGGTGAAAATATCACTGATTTATGTCTGAAAACTGAATTCCCACTCATATTATAGGTCTGGTTATTGGGAGCTCTGCACACGTCTAACGCTAACGTCACTCAAACTTTTAAAACTATCCAAAACTCAATTTGTGTTTCAATATTCAGTGTTTGGTTAAAAGGCGTCAATAAAGCGATATTCGCAGTGATTATTGAAAGAGTGTGGAAGCGATCTGTGGATCAACTGATGGGTTCTTCGGCGCAAACCATTGGTGCCAATTGTGTGTGGATTTAAAGGTGTGCGAAGTGTTGGGTCGTCCATAAGCGACGTGTTGTCAGCTGTTTTGGTGGACAATATGGCGTCCGACCAGTGATTGAGTGATTGAGTGGTGACTGAAGAGCAATGAAGGCATGAATTGAACCGAATTTGCATTCATTTCAGTCATTATTAGTATTGATTACGACATGTATTGAACACTAAATGTTGGACTCGTTTGGACGCAAGTATTCCTCACTCGACATCACATTTCATAATCTCTGGATTAAGCGCTCGATGAATGTGTGATTTGGTTCGTCGACTCTGTCTCTGCTAATCCGTCACTAATCCATTCAATTGATCCAAATCTAGATGTTATCGAGAATTTTGCCGCTTTCTAGTCATTACCGGATCGAAAGGTTTGTCCACCGCTTGAATGCACGCCTCGTTTGAACCCTTTTGCGATCTTAGGGTCAAGTTTGGCATTCCTCTGGAGGGCGTGTGCGGCGCCCACGACGACATCCCCGCACCCCTTCTCGTCATGATTCTCAAGCTTAACAAAGAGGCGCCCTTCAAGAAGGACGTGTTCCGCGCGCCCGGACATCAGGCCAACATGAAGAAGCTGATCCACTTCCTCCAGGTTTGACTCCCAATGCAATGT